GAGGTGATAAGATAAAAATAAGAGTATACTGATTTTCCAAGCATTGAGAAAGCCCTGGGAAGAATGTCCCAAATCTATGCTGATTCATCTATCTGGATCCTAGGAGTCAATAAAAGGAAACTGCATTTAAGTCCAGTTGCTTTATTATTTCTGTGGCTGTAGGAGTTGAAACACTTTGTTATGCTTTTTACTGAAAAATTGAATCATAAAACAACTTGAAACGTTACTCTTAGACTCCATGGGGAACTTTTTGGATTCCCTTGCTAGAGTCTGTCTCAGTGGAACTGGAATGGAAATCACACTCAGAACCACGGTCTTGGTGAAGTTCTCTTTACCTGGGAAATACACAATGACCAGTCTTGTGAGACTGAGTTAGTTCATTTGCTTGTGAATTTACAGACAGCAGCTCATCTGTCACGTAAGAATCTAAGAGTAGTTTGGAGTAACACTTTGCATTATACTGCTAGAGAACTGAGTAGTAGCCTTTCACCAAAAGAAAACATGAAACCATATATCTACCACCCAAATTTCTTCCAGGTTAAAGAAATTTATTTATTTATTTGTTTGTTTGTTTTTGTAGTGCTGGTGTCCAAACTGAAGGTCTTTTGCATGCTAGGTAAGTGTTCTACCATTGAGCTACATCTCCAATCACTAAACAGTATTTTAAACTCATCTTTCTGGAATTGTTACTTTCAGACGGGCCAGGCGGTGTATGCCTGTAGTCCCAGCAGTTAGGAGGCTGGGGTAGGAGGATGGGTAGGAATCTGAGGCCAACCTGGGCTACAAAAAGAGTTCAGGGCCAGCCTAGTCTACAGAGACCCTGTCTAAAAAAATAAAATAAAATAAAGTAAAATAAATTGCATTGTTACTTCTTTTTATCCCCCTCTCTACTTTGCGGTTACCTGAAAACCTAAGTGGTAGTTGTCAGACATTCTGCTTCCTGGTAACTTCCCTACAACTTAACAGTTACTCAGCCTGCCCCATTTCACTTGAAATTCTTACCAGCTTACATCAGCTAAAGGTCACTTGCCTCCAGCTAGCTTGTATAAATTATGACAGTACAGAAAACTTGCCAGTCTGCTAAACTGAGGCAGTAACTTTTACGTTTATGAAACATCATAAGCCTTCATAGTTTGCTGTCTACATGAAGCTAGCAAAGATCAGAAAGTTAAGTACTGGGATTAAAATAAGTTTGAGGGATGGGGGAAGGGTGGTGTTAAGTAGAGAGGAGATTGTACGCCACTTAGTAACATCCATTTTTAGACCAGGAAGCAATTTGTTGAGATTCTGCTTGCCATAGGAGAGGCAGGCTTCCTTCCAGGGTAGCAGAAGGATGCGGGAAGGGGCCTGAGTGGTCATGGCAAGCTGCCCAGCTATGAGGGCAAGGATAGGACGGGGCCTCTGCTTGCACCGGGAAGAATTTTCATTTCTAGGCTACTTACTCTGTTTAGCCCGGGTGGTCCCTCCCTTCCCACTTCCTCAGCTAGAATGCTGACTCCAGGGGGAAGGATTGCTCCTTCTCCGTAGGGAGTCTCAGAGAGTGTGCAAAAGACTTAAAGGAGACCAGAGGTCATTTTGACCAAAACCAAACAGCAGGCGGCCAGGTCCAGAACACAGAGTAACTCCCTGGCCGTTCTAGCGTGAAAACAAGCAAACACCCCGGCTTTGTTAATATTAAGTGTTTGAATGATTAACATTTTTCAGGTAGGTGGTATCCAATTTTGATGAGAAAAATCTCTACGTGCCTTCAGTTTTTACAGAGACGTATAATTCAGTAGTTCTGGGAACAAAAAATGAATAAACCTTTCTAAATCAGAAGGTATATTCCAAGCATGTTAGATTAACTTCTTTTCCCAACAACCTCAGGGTAAATACTATTATTCTTCTCCAGATAAGAATACCTCAGCACAGAGAGATTATGCAATGCACCTAGGGTCACTTTACCAGCAATCATGTAGATGGGACTGGAACCAAGCAAGGAACAAAACCTCAGAACTCAAGCTTTCCAGCACCCCCCCAGGAGTGGCAGCTTCTAGCAGAGATGCCAGTAGCCCTTTGTATCCACACCCAGCAGCATTTGTTTCCACGCAAGGAATTTGGCTGATTTTTAGCTCCAAGAGGGGATATGATAACCCGCTTTTGTTCTGACTCTTGTGGTTAATCATGAGAGCACCTTACCACAATCTAGGCTTCTCTTAAACACACACTGGATGTCAAAGTTCTTTCATCTGGATATGACTTCAGCCGACCTCTGGGCAGTTCAGTAGCTCCACTTCAACTTTAGTATTACACAGCAGTGCCAGAGAGAATTTTAAAATACCACATCCTGTTATTCAGGTATTTCATATTGCCAGTCCAGTCCCATTCAGGCTACGTCTGATGCTAGGAAGCCTGATGAGTTTAGCCAGTTACCTAAAACTCCCAGGTTGACAACAGGGACACTTGACTTCTGGTGAGCCTCGGCACCCAGAGAGCCTGGGCTTCCACAGCCTTCCAATGCATTTTAGCACCTTAGCTTTGTCTTTAAGAAAAGTTGAAATAATGAGGAAAAGAAACACATGGGCCTTCCTTCAAAGCCATTCAAGTCAAAGCATCTGCAGTAGAAAACTTAGGCTTACAGTTAAAGAAGAGAGTTAAAAAAATAAAAGTGTAATTCATGTCCCAACCCAAACCCAAATCTTCACAAAGCCTCCTACTGGCCACGGGCCACTGGGCAAAGCATATGCTTTCCGGTCCTCTCAACTTTCAGGTAACTGAGGCATGGCTGAGGCCAACAGCACCCTGGCCAGCTGGTAAGCAGCTTCCAAATTTCAGGTACCATCCTCCTGCCAGTGGTGCCTCAAAGGCAATGCCTTTAACGCCCCACAAGACAACTCTAATCTACTCAACCTTTGAGGCAAGACAACAAACAGGCCCAATGTGGCAGCTTTGGTTTAATCTACAAGCTTACAAAGTCTGCATAGAAAGGCAAAGCAAGAATGAAAAAAAAAAAAGGCAAAGCATGGGTTTTGTTCTTTACAGATCAGCCAACACTTTTTAAAAAATGTGTGCCTTCCTTCCCTCTACTACATCCTCAGGTGAAAATCAAGAGCATTGTGTCAAAAGTTACTAAAACAGCAAATACTTGTGTGTTAGTACTCAAAGTTGCAAGCATTCCTCTACAAGCTCCTTCTGCTCATTCAGTAAGATGTAAGAGGGTGTAGCTTACTAATCCATTTTCTAGGGTGGTCAGTGGATAAGAAGGGATTGGTCTGAGTAAGAATAGAAGAATAAAATTATTCGCCAAGGAAATTTTTCATGAGGAAAAGAATCCAGGTGGCCGTAAGCAGGAACCGATAGGCAAAAACGGATGACGAATTTGGAAGAAGCACATGACTGAAACACACATCAGAGAAGAACTCCAGGCTCCCTCTGCACTGTCTCTTAAGAGACTTACTCGCCAGATGGCACTCTCCAGGTAGCATGAAATGTGGCATTGTTTCTTCTGGAGACGCGCGCTCCACCCAAAAGATCTTTCTTCAAAGAGACCTCAAATATTCCTAAAGAATCTCAGCAATAAACTTGCTTATAGTGTCCCTCAAGCCTGTTTGCTTTCTATGAGGAGAGAGACAGAAGCCATGAGGTGAGTGGGATACCTAGCCCAGGGCAAGGCAGCCTAACCCAGGGTAAGCCACATGGTGCCCAGCCATTTGGTAGTAGTGAGGTTCAACCCTGCCCTCGACTAGTTCCCTTCTCTAGAAACCAACAGATGCTTTGGGTGGAGAACTAACCTCAATATTATAAGAAAGATCAGTGGAGAAGCATGTTGTCTTAAGACCATAACTGTAAGCAATCCCAGCACTTGGAAGAGTGAGGCAGGACTGCCTTGAGTTCAAGGCCAGCCTCATCTACATAAGGTGACCCTGTCTAAAAAAAGGGAGAACAGGAAGAAATCAACTCTGTATCTTATCAAAGCCATTCCAGAACCCCTATCAGAGAGCTCGAAGGCATTTTTGTTGCTGCCTTCTTTGCCATTAATTACATCTCTTTGAGTTACATCTTACTTTCTTCTCCCTCATTCTCCTACTTTGCCTCATTAGGGCCAGAAATTTTTTCATGAAGCCACTTTATGGAGCAATAGCAACATTTACTATGCATGAAGTGGCTCCTCCATAAAGCTTAAGCCCTTCCATCTGCCTGGAAGCTGGTTCCTCCTCTTCTCCTTTCGTCCTTCCAAACCCAAGTGAAAAGAAAGAGGGGAAAAAAAAGCGGAGGGAGCAATGGGGTGGAGATAACATCCAGATTCTTTAAGTGTTTTCAATTCAGTTAAATTTCCCTTTGGAACCAAACAGCTCCCTGCTGAAACCGACTGCGGACCTGAATTCCAGGCTAGGAATTAAGAAGGAAAGACAGCAGAAACAAATAACAGAGTCAGCTCTATGCTATGAAAACCGCTAGGTTGAGGAGGGCTCCAAGATTTTAACCCATTCATTTTGCCCCTTTTCTAAAATTCTCAATCTTTCCAACCAGTCTACAGCAATCAAGCAAGCACTTCTAGGATTTAAAACAAGTTCTTTAAGTGCCTTTGCTGATACTTCCTCAGGAATGCTGGTGTAAGACAAAGTTCACATTTTAATGCCACGCGTTGTCAGTCCACCAGACAAGCCAGGTCCTCAGCCTTGGTCACTCGGCAAAAATAAACACGCTTCGAAGAGTTAATTAGGCGGTCAGCGGCCACACTGGAGTCCTAGAGTCCTACCAGGGCTGCCCCACGGAGTTTTTACACTCACACACACAAAGGAGGCACTCGGTAAATGTCACAGATGGGCATCAAGAGTCGGACGCCAAGGTAAAAGCATTCCGTGGGCTCATTCCACAGATGCAGGACTCAAACTAGCTCGTGTCCCAAGGGCAGTCTCATTTTAAGATATTCCCCACAGCCCAAGGTCTGCACCCACGTCACAAAAGCAAAAACACACAAAAATGGAGCCAGCGGGGAGAAGGACTGCGAAGCTACTCACCAGCTCCTAGCGCCTGTGCGAGGCGAGCATGACTTCCCGCGCGGAGCCTCCGGGCTGCAGCGCAGCGCCGCGGTGGCCCCGCTTAAATAGCCGCGGGCCGGAGCTCGAGCCGCGCGGCCACTCCCGGCGAGAGATATGGTTCTAATCAGATGCTGGCAGCTGAGGACTCCCCAGGAATGCGCCGGGATGTTTTTGCTGCCTGGGCTCGGTAACTCCCCCTCAACGTGTCTGCAGAGCCTTCCAAACTTAACTCTTCCCTGCCTCCCGGGCCCCGCCCCCACTCACCCCGCCCCGCCCCCACTCACCCCGCCCCGCCCCGCCAGCTGGGGGCGATCGCCCGGACCCCGCGCGCGAGCGGCAGGCGTGGGGCGCCGCCCGCAGCTCCAGACCGGCGTGGGCGGGCGGCCGGGCGGGGGCCGGTGCAAATGAGGACAGGAAAGGGAAACTCTGGAGGAAAGGGGTGGGATCCGCCGGGCTGCGTTTCATAAATCCGTTCCCTGGATCGCCGCTTTGAGTGATGTGGCACGCGAAGTCATCCCTACCCCGGGGGCCCTTGGCACACAAAGAGCTGCCTTTGCAACTCACTTTCCTGACGGGCCGTGGGTCCCAGCTGCTATTTCCAAAGTAGAACGAGTGGTTGTCTCCATCTCAGAGGTGCACGCGCTGAATTTGGAGGGAAATCTATGTGTGCATAGCAAAAACACGCCGTGTTTGTGTGGGGAATTTTATCCTGCATATCCAGCTATGAGGACAATATTCTCCTTAGGGGCTCAGGATAAAATACGTTCGCATCTGTATCATCTCTCCAAATGAGGTGTGTATCTGACATGAACGAAGATTGTGTATTACCCTGTATCTGCAGTCAAGCGTAGACCTAGGACTTTATCTGCACTGATTTCCATAGCGTTTCCTACTCCCTCGAAAGAAATGAAATGTGAGAGATCTTTAAAATGCTGACATATTTACATTGCTCGGCAGAGGGTACTGCACAGCGTATCTTAGCGAACATTTATAAGCTAGGAATTCACATTTTTTTCATACTTAATTATCGGGATCATAAAACCAATAGAACTCTGGTGCTTATAAATATTATGGAATTGTTCTTGAGAAATCTCTGTCTTCCTTTCTAATTTTTTTTTTTTTTTTTGAGTCCGAGACAGAATGCACTAAACATGAAAATGCCACATAGCGACTTGGATGGAAGGGGGCATCTTGATTTTATTGAATGAGGAACACAATAGCTTTGCATTTTACCCTTGGAAACTGAGGGTTCAAATCGGCCTTATGGGACACCCAGGGTGTATTTTGTGGTCCATGCCTAGCCCGGACTGCAAAGCCACTGTGTAATTTGGGGTAGCTCCATGTGAGTGGCAGTCCCTGCTTGCAAGTAGGTCAGACAGAGCAGCCAGTGAGCTGCTGGGCTGAGGCACAGGGAGCAGAGCACAGTTGCCCTGCCCGGGCCCTGCCTGGGGAGACTCATCTCCCCACACCTGGGCATGTAAGGGTTGACAGAGGGGTGCTGACAGTTTCCAATATTGCTCTGAGGTAATTTGCTATTATTAAAAAAAATGACTTTGTGCGAATGACAAGAAGCATATAAATTTGAGTCCTATGAAAGTATGTCTAACCTTTAGGCAGAGCATTTTAATTCTGTTACTACTGAGGACATAGCACTTTATTTCTAACATCTACAAGTCCAGAGAGATGGTTCTCCTTTCTAAAGACCCAAAAAAAAAAAAAAAAGAGTAACTGATTTCAGACAAATAGGGGCTTTGATAATGCAAAAGAAATGGATCGCTTTAATCTAATGGATTAAATGGATCGCTTAATATCTAATATTTTCTCAATTAAAAAGTATACACCTTGGCTGACGAAGTAGTTCCGTGGTAGAGTTTCTGTCTAAAAGAAACGAGGCCCTGGGGTTCCAGCCCTAGTGCTGCAAAAGGCAAAACAAAACAAAACAACACAGAGATAAACACAAAACAAATATAGATACACACAAAACACAGACACACCTCAGAAAGAAAAAAAAGTGCCCACCCATACCTAATTCAAACACGCTTACCAAGGAATGGTATGTTCATTGAACATCATCAGTGGAAGGGATTTGTATCAGAATCCAGAGGGAAAGAATGATCCCATCTGCTACGAGCTGTAGTTTGAAGAGAAGACCTTGGTGAAAACATTTTATTTGTGAGCAGTGAGCTTGCACACACAGTTTAAAATGGACACTTCTTGTTTTACACAGAAATTCTAAGACTTGACAGCAAAAACTCCTGGTTTGAAGTGTATTTTTATGTCTCTAGGGTGCTGATATTGCTTCTGGCAGTCATTCAATGTCCTGCTCCCATTAAGAAAAAAACAATGAAAATAAATTTAACTCTTTCTACCCCGGGCAACGCTGTTTCCTGTCATGTGTACACTGTTCAGTTTTCAGAAGGTCTAAAGGGAACACTGGAAGACTCACATCAAAACCCACACAGTCGTCTGCGTAAGACATGGCCTTCTCTTGTCACCGCCACAATTCATGTTTAGAAAATCAAAGTGAAGGAAACTCAATGCAATGTTTGAGAAACTATGGTCCCCACATGACAATTGTCCTTTATACAAAACTTGTCTCTGAGAGAGAGGGAAAAATAAATAAATAAAGTGGACTGTGCTCTCAGCCTAGGAAAGCGGTAGTTAATCCCGTGATGGCTTGCTGAAGAATGCATGGTTTATTATTAAAGTAATCTCTTAAGATTTTCCTGGAATGTGCTTTCGCAGCAACTCTGCCTGTGCGAGCTATCCTATGCATGTGTGTTTTCTTCCAGAATTAAGCTGGATTTTTTCCTTAGCTCCAGACCTGTACCTTCTCTACTCCTGTCCTTTTCTCTACTGCTCTAATCTTTTTCACCTTCCTGTTCTGACCCTGCGTATTTTGTGAGCCATCATCAATACTTTGCAACTAAATGGCTGCAAGGCAAATTGTCTCTGCACCTCGATGCCTTGGAATGTGATGGTGCATCTTTGGGAGGCTGAGGCCAAGAAGATTCTTGAGCACATGAGAATGTGGCCAATTTGAGTCGTAAAAGTAGACTAGGCAAAAGAAAGGAAAAGAATTAATTAAACAAGGATGGTCTGAAGATCATCTAAGGAGGTTGCATCACTTTTCTACCTTTCTCCAAATCATTAAAAAAAAAAATATAGAGAGAGTGGCAATTGCTCCCGGAAAATATTCTTGGATCTTGACTGGCCAAGCACAGTTAGCACTGCAGAAACAATGACCCTGTAAGATCTGTTGACAGAATATGGTGGCAGTTTTCAATACTGCTCTGAGGTAATTTCAGTACTCAAGAGGCCGAGGGAGGTAAATCACCATGGGTTCAAAGCCAGCGTGGACGGTATAGCTAAACCCTGTCTCAAAAAACATTAACAAAACAGAACAAAAAAATGGAAGAGCAATATAAAAAAGATTTGACTATTGGCAAAACAAAGCAAATACTGGAGGTTTTGGATTTTATCTACAGTCTGTTTATCAATCATGTGTAAAATATTAGGAAGGCAGTTTAGTTGAATACAGCCTGGTTTTTCTTCTTGTGTTTTGTTTTGTTTGCTTGCTTTCAGTATTGGGTGTAGAAATAAGCACCTCATGCATGCTAGATAAGCACTGTACTACTGAGCTATGTACCTAGCCTTTTGCTTTGCTTTGTTGATTGTTTTATTTGGTTTCTTATTCTGCTCTAGAGCCTCAGAATCAACCACTATTTGTTTGCCATGTATGGTACTAATGAAAGCTGATATGAGAGCCCTATCATCATTTGAAAAATCAAAATGTTGTGAAAAAGGACATTTATTATAAATGTATGTATTGAATTACAGTTTGCTATTAATACAAATATTTTTCTTAAAATTTTTTATTTCAGTTAAAAAAATTTTTTTTGAGACAGGGTCTCACTTTGTAATTCAGACGGGATTTGAGCTCACTTTGTAGCCCAGGTTGGCCTCAAGCTTCCAGTGATTGTCTTGCCTCAGCCTCCCAAGGTCTGGGATTACAGGCATGCACCACTATACCTAGCTAAATTTTTATAGTGGAAGTTATAAAGGGAAAAGAGTACTTTCATATTAATTAGGACTAAAATAAATATTGTCTTATTCGTCCATATATTTTGACATATGTCTGTAATCCTAGAATTCTGGAAGTTTGAGGCATGAGGATACAAGTCTGAGCTCAGGTGGGTAATTTAATGACTTAGCAAGACTCCACCTCAAATTTAAAATTTTGTTTTGCTGTTTGAGGCACGCTTTTGCTATGCAGTTCAGGACGGCCTTGAACTCACTATGCGGCACAAGCTCAATTCAAACTTGAACTTATCCTCCTGCCTCAGCCTTCTGAGTGCTGAATTTATAGACATGTGCCACCAGACCTGGCCTCAAATTTAAAAATTTTAAAAAGGGATGGAAATTTAGTTCAGTGTGAAGGCCCTGGGTTCAGTCCCCATCATTGCAAAATAAATACATAAATAAAAAAGTCATATTTGGAAAATGAGCAGTTAAAAGTTATAAAATTATACCTAGTAGTGTAAATGAAATAAAATATTAAAATACATATAACTCTGCAAGAATGCTAATGTTAAGTTGTTCTTAGAACAAAACTTTACACAGTTTTCTAGCCTCAGAATGGTACTGATACGAAAACAGACATGAGGGTCAATAGAATATAATAAAGGATGTAGGAAAATCACCAAGCACGATTAACTATTGGATCTTTGATAAAGGGGCCCAAATCATACACTACGGGAAAGATAGCCTCTTCATAAATAGTGCAGGGAAAACTGGCTTTCCACATGCAGAAGATTAAATCTAGACTGGTATCTTCTACCATACCCTAAACTAAAATCTAAGTGGATCAAAGAACTAAATGTTAAAACAAAAATGCTTAACCTGCTGGAAGATAAAATAGGTAAAACTCTTGATGTCATAGGTACATGGAAAGACTTCTGAACAAAATCCTGGTAGTATAAGAAATAGTACTGAGATCCGTAAACAGGATCGTATCAAATTAAAAACTTACGCACAGCAAAAAGTAACCAATAGAGTGAAAAGACAACCTAGAGAATGCAGAAAAAATACCAACTACTCCTCAGACACAGAACTAATATCTAAAATATATAAAGAACTAAAAAACTAGAACCCTCCCAGTATCCAAAAACCCAATCAAAATTGGGGAAGTAAAATTAATACAAACTTCACAGAAGAATACAAATGGCCAATAAATACTTGACAAAGTG